AAACAAGCCAATTCACTACGTGAACTCGGCAACCAGGTTACCGTCTTTTTTTTACCTTTGTTTATTTTTTCTTGGCGGTAACCATAAAGGTGGTCGAGTAGATCATGTTGTGCGGGGTGGAGAAACCTCACTCCGTGCAAGGGGGATGATCGCACCACGTTGTGTTACAATGGTCAAGCACCCTCGAGGCAGTTACACAGTGCTTACAACTGTCTCTGGAAGTGAAAGCACCAGAAAGTAAATTAAGTCATACGCAGCTGTCATCCGTACGCAAGGAAGTAAGCACAAGATGCCGAACACCCTTAGCAGGATGCAGCGCACCCTTCATGCGACTCGCCGAATATCTCACGGCGCTTCGCGCTTGGTGATGTGAGAGCCTGGTCCGGTGAGAACCCGGCGTGCTCCGTCCCGGCTTTGTAGGGATGCGAGGTCAATGGTCTAACGACTACGGCATTCGTTTGCATTACTTCATCCCCCCTCCCCCCGCCCTACTCTCGTGGACGTGTGGTCAATGTTCTAACGGCTAAGTCATTCAAACCATTGGTACGCCCGCCCGCCCCCCGCCCCCTCGCCCGTCCTGATTAGATACCTTCGAACACCAGCGTGGCGAGTGCTCTCGCTCACGGCAAGGTCAGCCGCGAGGTCCTCGAGGAAGTTTTCGGCCCTAGCCTGCTCGGGGTCGTGGAGGCGGCCCGCAAGAAGGAGGAGCAGCTCTCCGACACAGTGCGGAAGCGGCTGCAGAGCCTGGCCAGGAGGAACAAGGCCGCGGCGGCCAGGAGAAGGTCGTCGTCGGGCGGGGGGGAGCGCAATGAGCCGGAGAAAAAGTATGGCGACGTTGGTGATGAAGACGAAGATGACGACGACGACGACGACGTTTTCGCAGACTTTTTGGCGGATGAGCTTGCCGGGAGCGGTGACACCCCTGGGAAGCTGCAGGTCAGCCACGGAGCGAAAAATATACACACAGAAGTCGGTTCAACAACATTGTTCCCCCGCTACTCATTGCATGTGCCTTCAGCACGGGCTCCGTCGGCGTCAAGTGATCGACAATGCAGTTTATCTACGAAAAACCCTGTAGAGCTCCTTCGAGCTCGAGCAGTGGCGCCCGAACTCCAACGCTGGTCGCCGTCTCGTGCCTGTGTGTTGGTCGTGATGTTTTTTGCACGCTTATGATCTCATTTTGCCGGCAGGCAGCCTTGGACAAAATAGAAATTGTGGTGTCTCAAGAGTTTTATGATTTTTCCCCACGCATGTGTTGCTACCGTTACCCCGAGCGCGTGTTTGCCTCTATTGTAGCTAGAACGTGTACGACCTTCTCTCTCCATCTCTGCGCTGTTGGTGTTCTTGTTTTCCCCGGGCGGATGAACTCAAAGACGGACTCACACTTATGCGGTCGATCGACGCCTCCCTCCTCCAGGTGGTGGTCTCCGGTCCGAGCGGCTTCGTGTTCTACGTGGAAACCATCCTCACCGAGATGGGCGTCCTCCCAAGCGCGATCGTCCTGCTCGACTGATTCTCTTCTCTCGACAACGGCTTGCTGGCGCCCTCCGAATCCGAGTGCTGCTGCTCCAGAGTGTTGATGCAGTACAGTAGAGGGTGTTGAATGCTTCCAAGTTTTTCATATCTGTTGTGTTGGTGTTTTTTTTTCGGTTTGTGCGGATCATGTGTATTCGTTGGGGTCACTACTGAGCATTCTTTTTTCAGGTGTAGCCGGTGGAACCCGTTGTTTTTTTGAAACCGTTAAATTTTCAGAGGATGCGTTTCCCCCCCACTCGTATTCTGGGGCCATTTCGGATTTGTAGGACGATTCTGTTCGTTTGGAGTGATGGGAGGAGAGTTGACGTGCAGGGTAACGACCGCACGGTAGACAACGTGGAAAAGGGAAATTAAGTGCTCAGGAGTAGTTGAGAAAAGAGGGGGATAAGGAGGATTGGCCAACTTAGTTTGACCAAGAATTCTTCGGGGTAATTTATTTGTGCGGTTGGTTGCGGCGCGAACGTCAACTTTTGGGTGGAGGATTGATTCCTTTGTCGATGTGTTTTCGGCGGTATACAAGGCACCCATCCCCCAATGGTTGCGTGAAGCCCAGGATGGTGTTGATGGTTGGGCGAGCGCACTATGTGTAGAGCTTTGTTCGTGGTAAGGGTCACGTTTTTCCGTTCACAGCGTTTCGAGGAGGCCTTGTGAGACTCCTTTTTTTACATTTTTTTTTTTTTTCGTAGGTGGGGCATGTTTGGTTGCTGGTATTGCTTGGGCTTTGGGGAGCTTTTCATCTGCGGGGGGCGGTCCTCTGTTGGCATCGTGCCCCGTGTCGTCGGTTTATTCGTGTCTCGGCGACTTCCGTCCGTGCCTTGGTGAGGTTTGTAGGTTGTTTTTTTACGGTTCTTTGTGATGGCGCCCATCTTGCAGTGCCGTTCGCTTTGGTTGGTTGGACAACACCGTCGTCTGCTATCGTGCTTTTTTTTTTTTGTGTTATACGTTTGCGGGAGAACTTCATCCTCTCAGGCGGTGATTGGTTTGACCTTGTTGTGAAATTTTTGTGGGTACGATTTTGAAAAAATTGGCTGACACCATCAACGTGGTGGGTGTTTTTTGTTGTTGGGGGTGTATTCTCGATCTTCGAAAAGATCTGTGCTGGGTCCCGGGGAGAAGGCCTAGGCGCGCGCGGTCAGCATGTATATGCAGTGAGTGTCGTGATGCACGGTTACACGTGAATGTTTTTGGCGGGAGTTTTGGGGTGATCTCGCTGTCCAAGGGTTAATTTTTTGTTCGTTTTGGTGAGGTAGGCGTCGCTCGTGGCGCAGCTCGAAGGCGGTGCAATGGGGGCGGGAGGGGTTCACCAGCTACCCGCGAGGGCGAAGGAGCTATATGTAGTAGGTCAAGTTGGCACGCTGTTCTCCTAGCCACCGGCTGTGTGAGGCGCTCGTGGTCCTCATCATGGCGCTGAAGTCACAGCTAGTCTTGTCTCGAGAAGGGGTCGGCGGAGCGAGAGAGAGAGCGAGCGTCCCATAGCCTGGGCCGCGGCGAGTGTCGTCAATGTAAAGCGTAGAGCTTGAAGATGGGGTTGCAACGTCGACCGGCTTGTAGCACTCGTGCTTTGTTTTGTTCCACGGCGCACCTCCTTTTGATCAGGGGTCTTCTCTTCGTTTCACTTCATTTTCCGGGGTTTAGAGAACGGTTTGGGGGGTATGCCCAATTCACGGGGTAAATGTTGTGCTGGTTGTTCGCTGGTACGGCGCAGTAAAGAACGCTGCCCTTGTCCGTGTCGGTGGTATAAAGTCCATGCGCCGTGTATCAAACGGAAAGGATGGAGGAGAGAGAATTATGTACGAGAGCAAGTCATGTGATGGATGTCTTGGCGCGTGGTTGCGTTGAAGAGCGCCTCCGGCTGTGTGTTGTTGGTTGTTCAGCGTGGTTTTGCGTGTTGTCGAATGCAAATGAAGCGCGACGGGCGTTGAGCGAGCATCGGGGCATTCGTTTTCATGCAGTTGTTCCATCTGCCAGTATTCTCTAATTGTGGTCGTCAGTGTTTTCCTCATCATCGCGAACCGAATCGAGTACGTGCCCCCCCGGGGCGTCTTCGTGTGTTTTCGGAACGTGTGCCGGTTTCTTTTTGGCAGAAACACGGAGACATGATTCGTCTTTCATGTCTTTCCCAGCAGCAACAACCAATCCAGAAAGCGTTTGTGCTCGATAGGAACGAGCTCGGTACAGGAGGTCTGTGGCGATCGACAACTACCGTAACGGTAACGGACGCTACTACCCCCACAGCCATCCTACCCTCCACTGCTGTTGTCTTTCAATGCAACTCACTGGAAGATGAGGCGGGGACGGAGGCGTGTCGTTTTTCAATTATTCCTTCCCTAGTTTCCTGAAATTCTGTCAAGGCAACAATCACAGTCTCCGGCTCATTCCACCGCGAACACGCTGCCGTCTCGACCAACACACTCCTCAATCGAACGAGCAACTTTCTGCTGGCGATCGACACTCCCACCAATTCTGTGAAAGGAAGTACCATCCACCAAAGATTCGTGCGGAATGGCACGGCATTGGCGTCACCGGTCGCTGTTGCCTTAAGGTAACAAAAAACCACTCCGATGTCTGCCCAGTACCGTTTATCATCCATCCGTGCTGGATCCAACTAAACGCAGACGGTTTCCTCCCTCCGTAGTCACATGTCAACCAGAAAGAAAAATCAACGCACACACCTAGAATACGTCCTACAGCTCTAGAATAGGAGCCTACACTACGCGAGGGCCATTGTTCAACAACTCTCCAATCAAACAAAAGACCAACCGGCCTCCTTGAGGGAAAATCACATCTGTCCGACGAAGTTGGCCGTATCGGCCTTGCTACCAGCCCCGCCTCCTGCCGCCGCCGCGGTCATCGTAGCCTCCTTCGGCAATGCCCACTTCGTCGTGACCTAAACAGGGTGATCGCGTCAACGGAGGTAGACCGTCGCATCGCGTGAGGGCACGCGAGGGGGGGAGCTTCAAACCATTGCAGTGTGATATAATTATGGAGGCGAATACTTCACATCTTCTCGTCGCCAAACGGTAGCCCCTATCGCATCGCACACCGCCTGTAACCGACTTACAATAGTTGCGGTTTGAAGTCCTACTTGTGGGGCGAGGCCAATCAATGGTGCTCAAGCAGAACAATAAGGATGAACGAGATATACACACACATATATATAGAGAGAGATTCCAGACAGACACAGACACAACGTACCAAGAGCCAAAAAAAAAGAAAAGGCCGACACGCCGAAGTCATTGGCCAACATGACACCAACAATCATCGTTCGGCACCGTGCAATCATTACTCTTGGGCCGCAACTAATGGCTATGATGCCCCCCCGCCTCCCCCTACCTTCCGGCGATTGGTGAAGAACTCCATCGCCCCCTCCGCAGTGACGTCGAAGTCGCCGTACTTGCTCAGCGTCCCTGACAAACCGCCGAAGGCGAACGGTTCGCGCGGAACGGGGATGCCCACGTTTACCCCTGATCGTGGTCGACATCGATGGGGGGGGACACAAAGGTGGGGGGAGGGAAGGGAGAGAGCTTTCAGGAATAAGGGGAGAATTGATGCCTCCGGCGTGCATAAACTTGTTTCATGGCCACCTACCTCTCTCTCTATCTTTCTCTCCCCCCGCCTCTTCTTTCTGTCCTACCCTGTCTGTCTGTCTGTCTGTCTGTCTGTCTGTCTGTCTGTCTGTCTGTCTGTCTGTCTGTCTGTTTCTCTGTCTCTTCGTTTTGCTGCCTGTGAGCGTTCGTCTCTCGCTCTCTCTGTCTCCCTCCTTCCTTGTTTCCCTTCCCTCCCCTCTCCTCCCTGGACAAGTCACCTACCTATCATGCCCGCCCGGAAGCGGGTCTGGAAGTAGTCCGCCGCCGGCCCAGACGACGTGTACACCGAGGCGGCGTTCCCGAAGGGAGATGCGTTTTCCACCGCCAGGGCCTCCTGCCACGTATCCACCTGCCTCACGCAAACCAACCACAGAGGGGGCCGCAGGCGGCGAAAAACGTCCAAGGGTAAGTTTTCTCAGACTTGAAAAATTTACGGCCGAGAATTATCGCCCTGGAGGACGGACGGTCGCGGGATACCGTCAACTACACCGCCGTAAAATGCCGTCCCGGGAAACCGTCATTTTTTCCCGGCATAGTCTGGCTTTCCCGTCAATCCGTCAAAGGCCGTTGCCGACGATAATGTCTCGAGCACCAAGCACCCCGTGAACGAAAGTGCACACAGAAAAGTTGCCTGGGAATGTTTGAACAGGTCGTCTCGCCAAAAACGAACGGGCTATTGACAAAACGTTTCTCGTCACCACACCAAGGATTTTCCCTGTGTGCTGGCCACCTTCTTGCTGTGAAGTATGTACCTTGACGACCATCAGCACCGGTCCGAAGATCTCCTCCGACTTGCCGTCGCCTTTGTTGCCGTTGCGGCTCTTGACGATCACCGTGGGACCGACCCACGTGCCCGGCTTCCGCTCCGACCATCCCCTCCCGTCAACGAGCACCTCCCCCCCGTTGGCCTCCGCCGCACCGATGCGTCCGACGATGTGGTCTCGTGAAGCTGTGCTAATCACGGGCCCGACCTTGCCCTACAGCATAGCGCAGCGGGGTACGGGGGGGGTTGTCCTCGTTTCGCGAAGCGGTGTACTAATATCGTGTAAATGCATGCTGAATAGTCATAAGACCATTGACCTCGGTTCGCGAAGCTGCGCTAATCACGGGCCCGACCTTAGTGCAGCCGACGATCGTGGTAAGGAGGGGGTGAACTCATCATGTACACACATGCCGTTGGCGATATAGACCATTCACCTTGCCCGGGGGTATTTGCCGGGTGTTCGCCGGCCCAGGCTACGTTTCAATAACGCTGAACCACAAACTTGACATCGTCTTTGCGTTCCGTTGTGCCACACCAGATATGCCATGGGTTGATTGGGATCGGGGGGTCGCGGAGGAGCGCCATGGTACAGAAAGACGGACAAGATGTGAATTTCCTCGCTGGCTGTGGCTACAAGGTGTTTATGAGAGTTTGGTTAAATTCACACGCACCACTATCAGAGGATACACGCCAAAGCGCTATGCCAAACTACGGTTGAACGGGGTGGAACCGGTTTAAGTGACATGTGATTGTCAGGTCGTCCGAGGCGCTTCTAGAAGAAGGGCTCACCGCTTCGGTGCCGGGCTCGAGAGCCTTGGATTTCTGAATGACCCTATCAAGGAGGTCTCCAGTGTCGCCGACTAGAACGAGCACACTCGCTGGGAGGTAGGAAGAGAGAGAGAGCGAGAGAGAGAGAGAGAGAGAGAGAGAAAAACAACGTCAAACCGAAATCAGGCCACCGCGACGGGAACGAGGGGAAGGACAGGGGACGCGTCCGAGAGAAGGAGGTGGATAAAAAAGCGATATTTGGAGAACGTGCACCGACCCGCCAGCACTGGAAGAAGGAGCAGACCGACGTCTTGCATCGCCTATTTCGTTTTGGCATGAGGGCTTGTCACTCGTCATGCCAGAAAGCTCAAAAACCTTATTGTTTCCCGAGTTGATTTCAAGAGAGGGAGACAAGCGTGTGGGGTGGGTAGGAGGAGTTCATGGGAGGTGAACTGGACAGGTGACATAACACATGGGTGACATCCGTCCATGATCACTTTCGCCCCCCATCCTCTCTCTCCCCCTCTCTCTCTCTCTCTCTCTCTCTCTCTCTCTCTCTCTCTCTCTCTCTCTCTCTCTCTCTCTTCCGAGAACGACGGAGGAATACCTGGTGTACAGCAAGCAGCTAGAGTGCCAAGCATCCCACAAGTAGGGTAGGCAGCGACACAACTGAGGAACGACCGTCATGCTGTAATGCTGTAATGCTGTAATGCTGTAACCGTTTACACAAGGGTATGCAAAAGCGGGACCGGATACGACGCGAGCCTCCAAAGCAGCATTGGCGAGGACGCCGATTCTCTCCGTACATGTGTCGACACAAGAAGTGGTAACAGTGTCGACTGTGTCAACGTGTAGGTAGACAAAAAGCGCCGGGGGGTGGGAGGGGGGGGGGGGGGTTCCCACCTGCCATGCACCGTTGCCCAGCGCATCCCGCAAAGGACGCCACGATGTCGTGAGCAGCTGCCTCGTGGCTGTGTTTTTGTCGTGTGCCGCCAATCGTATGCAGCCAGGACAGACAGGGCGAGACAGCGACACGGGGAAATACGTGGAGTTAGCAGTCAGACGAGCACGCGGCAGGGCAAGGAGGTTCAAGCAGAGAAGAGGGTGGTAACAACGGAAATGTTCCGCGAGCGACCAGCCCTTCAACCTTTCCCGTCTACCTTCGGGGCAACGAACCACTTTCGCTAAGCAGCGCCCACCCGATTGGCAGATCTGATCGCGTGTAGTAACAACACCAACACCAATAACCGCGAATCCACTCACTCGCAGTCCGGGAGAGCGATGAGGTGGTTCTCCGCGCCGCCGAGCGCCAGCACCCGCTTGTTGACCGCGTGGCAACGCGCCGCCACGGACTTGGCCACGCCGCTGCTCCCGACGAACGTCAGAGCCTTGACCGCCTCGGCGTCGCACAAAGCCTCCGCGGCCTCCCTGCCGCCGTTCACGATCTGGAAAACCCCTGGAGGTAGCCTGTGGGGGGGGCGCCGCGGGGCGTACTCGTACTCATGTTTGGTATGCCTTTGCTGTTAGACCATTGGGGTGATGCTTGATATGCCTTTGCTGTTAGACCATCGGGTGATGCCTTGATAGATACGCGGGCCACAGCGGCCGCTTTGAACAAGTGCTGGAAGGGGTCGCCAATGTAAACGCCCCCCGCAAAACAACCACGACAACAACAACAACAACAACAACAACAACAACAACAACAACAACATTTCTCACCCGGCCTCCCCGAGCAGCTGTCCGACCTTTCGCATGGTCAGCGGAACCTTCTCCGAGGGTTTGAGTATCACGCAGTTGCCCGCCGTCAGGGCGATCGGCACCGTCCACCTGACAATGATCGTCAGCGGCAGCATTGGCACCAGCTTGATGTCTCCACAGTAGCCACGACGAAAAAGAGGAGAGTGTGTCGAAAGAGCGAGGGCCAACATCCAACATGTTCCCAAGGCCCTCTCTGCCAGGACTCCTGCTAGGGCAGTGTTGATATCCCCCTCCTCGATGAGATGTACTGTAGCAACCTGACACCAACCAACCCAGCCAACCAAGGCACGATGCACTCCCTCTACGAATGCTTTAGCGAAAGGAACGCACCGACATCCATTTGAACGGCAGCATATATCCCGACACGATTGCCAGAGACTAACAGCCGCAGAAGAGATTAGCCGCGCGGCCCTCTGACTCACATGGGCACCATGATGGGAAAGTTGAACGGCTGAGTAGACGAGACAAGGGTGGGGGTACCGCCCACGCGCGAGGACGACGTGGGCCATTCCGCCGCATCGCAGAGGACGTGCAACGAAGAGCAGAGAGGGGCCACACAGATAGGAGGAGGGCACGTTAAGGTGGAAACAGCGCACGATGCGGGGGAGCGAGCAGAGACAGAACAAGGGCGTGACGAACAAACGAGGGAGTGACCAACAGGAAGATGTTCATGGGGGGGCGAGCACAGGACTCTCTCGCCGCACACACCAGGGTCGAGAGACAATCGTACATTCACTTACGTTCACTCTAGCAACACTTTTCAGCCGCCTGGCGGTGGGAAGATGTAGGAGGGTCATAAAAGTCAGTTCTGTCTTTTGTCCTATCCAAACAGGCGTGTCCTCCACAAAAACGAAGCCCGAAAATGTAGATAGCGAGACCTCCTTTTCGACGTGGGGCGCAGGGAGAGATTTCTGCATGCTTGGTACCTCGCACGAGCGCACACGTACGACATGCACCGCACACCCAATATAACATATCGGCCCCGTTTCAAGACATTGTGGCTTCCTGATTAAAAAGTACACCCACTCGCAACAACGGTGTAGAAAACCAAACGATTGGAGTCAAGGGTGTACCCGAGCAAGGGTCAAGGGGAGGGGGGCTGCTCTCACCACTAAGCAGGCGACGACCCCCAGCGGCTCCCTCAGGTCCCGGCACTCGATGCCCCGGCTAACTTGGAGGATCTTCCCCTGCGCATTTCCCGTAACCCCCCCCAAACAAGTGACAACAAACACGCGGCACAGAAGAACATTATAGAGGGGAAGGAAGCGCCATAACCAAAACCAGAAGAGCCATGTCCGCTGAGTAGGCACAAGGGCACTGCTGTGTGGCAGGCACTGGTGTGGCATAACCGGGGTGCAACCGGGTCGTGGATGGGTAAATGCACATGGAATCGAGAAAGAATGACTCATGTTCCCTTTTTGGTGCTTGGCTCGGGGGGAGAGTGTGCTACGACCGCCGCTTTCCACTAGGGCCTGGAGTCAGAGAGCTCCACGAGGAACACCAAGCGCGACGGTACAGCAAGTGCGTGCGACCTGAAAAAAAACAGCAGCCAGCTCAGCACCAGGACTTACGAGAAGCGACAGCACAGCACAAGACACACGTCTGTCCGTGCTAGAGTGATGTGTGTGTGTGTAGCGCGTGCGCCTCACTGACATTGCTGACCACGTGCAGCTACACAGTGCACTACGCAAATCGTGTCTTGGTAGGGGCGGTTTGCTACCCCAGTTGGGGGGGAGATTATACGCAGACGGCGCGCCTCCCCCCGCTTAATAAAGTTGACGCGTGCTCTGTACAATATTACGAGCCCTGTTTTCGGAAGAATTACGCATGGTGGTAAGCCTCGATCGATCTTTTGGTCAAGACATGTTGCCCACAATGAACGTGAGTAGAACTGGGAACATGTACACTGCCGCTAATTCCCACCGGTGGGACGTCCCGCGGGTATCCCAATCAGCGAAAGCACAAATCCCTAATACTGCTGCACCAACAATCTTCACAAAATCTGTTCCATGCATGCAAACAGGCTACTGCATATGTGTCGCTCTCTCTCTTGCCTGCATGAGCTGAGGCATGGAGCACGCCCACTCGACAGTCTCGTTCCCCTTGGCCACCGACGCCAGCGCCTCCGCTTTGTTCTTGCCGTTCTCCGCCACGACCAAGCCCGCCTGGCGATTTTCGCGGGAGAGACGCACACGAGACACACCAACCAACAAGGCGGTACCATCATGCAAGATTTGTTTGCGGCCTACCTTCCCCCCGAAGCCCTCTTGTATCCTCTCTATCACCCTTCCCGGTGTCTCCGTCATTACGTTTGTCTCATCAAAAGCCTTATGTTTGCCCCCTGGAGCTTATTCCGGTCTGAGCTTGAAACCAAAAAGCTGCCCGGGTCCACTACCACACCCTGTTTCACTCGAGAACCTACGCCACCCTTCCCTCTTCCCTGTTTCCCCCGACATCAGCCTTCCCCTAACCGTGCCGCCACCTCCTCCTTCTCTCAGACCCCGCTGATCCTCCTACAGCAAGTAGTCTCCGTTTTTCCTCTCCGTCTCACCAGCTCGTCGGCGTGCTTCTCGAGGAGGGAGTGGAATCTAAACATGACGGCCGCGCGGCTCTTCGCCGTCATGCCGCTCCACCCCACGAACGCCTCCTCCGCACGGGCTGTTGCGACCTCGACCTCCTTCTGCCCCGACATGGCGACTCTGGTCGAACGAATGTTGCCGGCGGGGGGGG